GGGAGAGCTTCTAATGTCCTGGCCCCACTGGTGGACCTTCGGATGGCACCTGGTATTTTGGGCCACTGTGTGACAAGAGTGTTGGACTGGATGGGCCTTTGGATTGATCCAACATTGGCGTCTCTTATGTTCTTAAGCCACTTATTTGGCTTTTTGGTGGTCCACGGTATCCACAAAACTCCTCCAACCTCACAGTTCAACTCTCTTCCTGTCCAGTTTCTTCACTGTCTAACTTTCACACCAATACATATTAATGGGGAATAGTATGGCATACATTAACTTGATCTTGGTTGCTAGCAACAGATTCTTATACTTGAGCAAGTTCCAGCTCCACCATGGGTGCCCTGCCCAGTCTCAATTCCCTTCTGATTTCTTGGTTGCAGTCTCCCTTTTTGGTTGATGATGTTGCAATGGACTAAGAAACTCTTGGACAATTTCAGTTTCTTCATCAAGATGGGCAGTCACGTTAGCCTGTCCGTAGCAGTAGAAAAGATGAAGAAATTCCAGTAGCAACTCAAAGACTAACCATTTGTGGCAGGGGACGAGCTTTCGTGAGTCACTGCTCACTTCTTCAGTTAACAGTTCTTCATCATCAACCTTAAAGTGTGTAATTCCCGGAGAGTGCCTTAAAACAACCAATGTACCCCAAGGGTATGAACTGCAAGAGCAAATGGCAGACAGGTTCGCTACAGTTCTTCATCATCAACCTTAAAGTGTGTAATTCCCGGAGAGTGCCTTAAAACAAACAATGTACCCCAAGGGTATGAACTGCAAGAGCAAATGGCAGACAGGTTTGCTTTCAGGGAAGCTGATCAACCAATACTGGCTTTCTGACTGAGGAATCTCAACAGAGCTTCTGCGAAACCAGAGTCCTCCAGAAGACAGTTTGGAAAATACTGTCTTTCAACATGCTGGCTGCATGAATTGAGTATTTTCCCTTGAAACTGCCCTCAATCTTCCGCATTGTGCAGGGGTTTATGGCAGGTGAGATTTATGCGGTCTTTTTTGTAGGTTTGGAAGCTTATGAACTTGTCTACAAAAAGAAAGTCCTGTGTTTAAGCACCCGAGCACTCTGTTTACTCAAAAAACTTCTCCGTGATCTGTATTGAGCCAGTGAGAAAGGTCAGAAGCTCAGCTGGAGGCCCATGAATATCCTTGCAACTTTGGTCATTTTACGGGGCTGAGGTGTATGGAGAAAACTGGCTTTGAGACCCTCCGTCAGTCAGGGCTTATCAGATTAACTGTCCATTGGTCTGAGCCCTTCCATTTCTTTTTGACATTTGAAACTGCATAACCCTGTAAAGTTTGTTCTCCAATAGCAAGTATTGTACTGTCGTGGCCTTGTTTGTGGAAGTCCAGTTCTGTTAATTTTTGGAATCCAAGACTCTCGTATGCCTTTTGCTGTGAGTGAGTCTTTTGCTCTTTGATTGTGTGACCCAGTTCTGTTGCATTTTTCATTTGTATACATTATACCAATCTCTTCCTCTCTCTTTTATGCATTGTTCCTGTAACTCTGTAACCCACTTCAAACCTCAGTGCAAAAAGTAGATGAGAAATGTAGTACATAAATAAAATTAAATAGTATGCACAGTAGGAAGAAGAACATGGAATCCCCAGAGCGGTCAGTTGCTTTTGAACACAAAATCTCAAACTCCTGGGAAAACAGAAGCCAGCTATAATCAGCCCCAGTGTTTTCTGTACTGACTGGTTTTGCACTGAGAAGAGAGCTTAAAAGCCACATAACATGTGACTCCTCCTGTATTGGTTGAATGTGCTGAGTGGGAGAGCATGCGGTCTCCAGCTCATGGACAAGGTCCCTATACATCAGGGGAGACCAAACTTGCTCAGCGTAAGAGTAGAGATGTAAAATTTCCGGAAATTTTGAAGCTCGGGAAAAAACGGAAATTTTCAGAAAAATTGAAAAAAAATAGCACTTTTTTCTTTTACAGATTGAAAGTCGTTCTGTTACTTTAGGAACATAAAATATGACCATGGACATTTTTACTTGGCATGAAATTATCACAACTAGCATATTAAAAATATAGTGTATCCAAACAATTATTACAAACAGAATACCCACCCATATGCAAAAACAAAACTGAGACCTTTTTCTTTTCTTGTGACAATCGCACCTCCTAAAGGAAGAAATGCATCTTGTTCTTGCATTGGAGAGTTCAGTTTATAATCTAGGACTTGCTTGGCCTCAGTGCACAAAAATTAGATCAATCTGATACCATACATATTTTTTAGAAATGATTTGGAAAATATTTGAGCACCTTGTCTTAAAATATTTTATTCATCATGTTAAAATAAAGCGTTCCATAATCAATTTTTTTCCTTTCCTTTTTTAAATTTTTCCAATTTTTTGGAGGAGGGAAGGCTTCAGGAAAAAAATGTTTCCCCCCCCCGAATTTTTCTGTTTTTTTCCCCCAGACATCTCTACGTAAGAGCTACATAGAATAAATGTCAGATGTTTGAGAGCCGCAAGACAGGAACAAATATTACACACACATTTTTTATTTTAAAAAATATGCAAATTTGTTTTTTATTAACATACAATGAGACTGCCAAAAATAAAAACAGAAGGGGTAAAAACAGATATTGATAACGCTATTTGTTTGCTAGTGATATTGATTTGTCTAAGAGACACACACAGAGAGAGAGAGAGAGAGAGAGAGAGAGAGAGAGAGAGAGAGAGATGGAGAGCACTTCTTCTTCTTCTTCTTCTTCTTCTTCTTCTTCTTCTTCTTCTTCTTCTTCTTCTTCTTCTTCTTCTTCTTCTTCTTCTTCTTCTTCTTCTTCTTCTTCTTCTATATATTTAGAAATGATTTGGAAAATATTTGAGCACCTTGTCTTAAAATATTTTATTCATCATGTTAAAA